ATGCATGTGCCCAACTGCCTCCGCAGAAGATGTGACAAGCGAAAGAGACCCAGAAGAATCAAGGCTTAGTTGCAGTGTCGGTTGGATAGCGCGTGGCTATGGAAGCTTCCAGTGCATGTCAAGTGCCTCCTCGTAGGTAATGTAGCCGCAACAAGGCTGACAGAACATGGCCACCTGTTGACAAAGAACGCCGACTTGCAGAGCGCAAGGCAAAAGTGAAGAATTCGTTCGGCGGCGGCCGCGCTTACCGCAACGGGAATAGCGTGCCTGCCGCTCAACTTTTTGATTGCCTGACTTTTTGGTCTGATTTTCGACCGCTTCCCTCGACCACCACCACCAACTTTTCCCCTACAAACCTTCCACCATCAGCTTTCCTCTCTGCGTCGTCTGCTATCCTTGCAGTCGATTGCTATTCTCCCCCCTTCCCCCATAAAATACTCGTGAAGTCACCAAAAAAAAGTGAAAAACCCCCTCAAAAACCCAGAGTCGTGCGGTAAGTCGTCTCGTGGCCCTTGGCTGCGCAACCCTTTTTCCCTCTGCACGGTACGAAACTCAGAGGGAAAGGCGAACAACGTCTGACGCACATGACAGTGCTCGACTTTAACAACATATCCCTTACCAAGGCATCACCAAGGCATCACCAAGGTTGCTCAGGACAAACTGTCAATCCCCTCGTTCTCGTTACCTCATCAACCAAGCCCGGAAAAGTCAACCAACAAAGTGAGCGCTCTCTTTGCCCCGTTGTCGCCGGCCGACGGGCGTCGGTCCTGCAACTTTCCTATCGGCGCAGCCTTCACCCGAATCTATTCTGACTATGTTTCACAGCGAAAAATGTCTGCTGCAGACGTCTCCAACGCTGCTCCGGTCGCTGGCCAGAATGGCACCCCCGATGCTCCTACTCAGAACGGCGCACCTGCCATCGATACCAATGTTGCGCCAACTGGTGCCACCGGCGATGATGTCCCTACACCCTACTCTGCGACTCCCAACACCGCGCAGCACTCCGCCTCGCTCTATGTCGGCGAGCTCGACCCCTCTGTCACCGAAGCCATGCTTTTCGAGTTGTTTTCCTCTATTGGCCAAGTTGCTTCCATCCGTGTCTGCCGCGACGCCGTCACCCGCCGCTCCCTTGGGTATGCCTACGTCAATTACAACAATACTGCTGACGGTGAGAGGGCTTTGGAAGATTTGAACTACACTAGCATCAAGGGCCGCCCGTGTCGTATCATGTGGTCTCAGCGCGATCCCGCCCTCCGTAAGACTGGACAAGGTAATGTCTTCATCAAGAACTTGGATGCCGCGATCGACAACAAAGCGCTTCATGATACTTTCTCCCAATTCGGCAACATTCTCAGCTGCAAGGTGGCCCAGGATGAGCTTGGAAACTCAAAGGGATACGGTTTCGTCCATTACGAGACCGCCGAGGCTGCCAATCAGGCTATCAAATCTGTCAACGGCATGCTGTTGAACGACAAGAAAGTCTTCGTTGGCCACCACATCGCAAAGAGAGATCGCCAGAGCAAGTTCGAGGAAATGAAGGCCAACTTCACCAATGTCTACATCAAGAACATCGATGAGTCGGTCACTGACGAAGAATTCACCAAGCTGTTCGAGCCCTACGGCACCGTTGTCTCGGCCACCATCACTCGCGACGAGAATGGCAAGAGCCGTGGCTTCGGATTTGTCAACTTTGGCAGCCACGAATCTGCCGCCAAAGCTGTTGACGAGCTCAATGACAAGGAGTTTCATGGCAAGAACTTGTATGTTGGACGCGCTCAGAAGAAACATGAACGTGAGGAGGAGCTCCGCAAGCAGTATGAAGCTGCACGCATGGAGAAGGCTTCCAAGTATCAAGGCGTCAACTTGTACGTCAAGAACTTGGCTGATGATGTGGATGACGACAAGCTTCGTGATCTGTTCAGCGGCTATGGAACCATCACATCTGCCAAGGTCATGCGCGACACAGCTGAGCGTACTGCATCCCCTGCTGCCGACAAGGACAAGGAGAACAAGAAGGAAGATGCTGAGAAGGGTGATGATGAGCAGAAGACTGAGAGTGAAGGCAAGGAAGAGACAAGTGAAGAGTCCAAAGAAGCCAAGAAAGAGGGCAAGCCTGGCCAGAAGATGTTTGGCAAGAGCAAGGGCTTCGGCTTCGTCTGCTTCAGCAACCCGGATGAGGCGTCCAAGGCAGTCTCTGAGATGAACCAGAAGATGGTCAACGGCAAACCGTTGTATGTTGCGCTCGCTCAACGCAAGGATGTTCGCAAAAGTCAGCTCGAGGCTAGTATCCAAGCACGGAACACCCTTCGTCAGCAGCAACAGGCTGCGGCTGCTGGTATGCCGCAAGGCTACATCCAACCCACTGTTTTCTACGGGCCAGCTGGACAGCAATTCCTCCCCCCGGGGGCGCAGCGTGGAGGTATGCCCTTCCCTGGTCAACCTGGTCTGGTCATTCCCGGTATGCAAGGCGGCCGTGGACAATTCCCTGGCGGTTTCCCACAGCAAGGCCGTGGCATGCCTCAAGGCCAACAGCTTCCTCCGAATTTCGGTCTGCCTGGACAGATGCCATTTATCCAGAATCCTGCTCTGGTCAATGGTATGTACAATAACCCTCAAGCCTTGGCCCAGATGCAAGCTCAGATGGGACGTGGCGCCGGTGGTCGTGGACAGATGCAAGGCATGCAGGGTATGCCTCCGAACATGCAGAGCATGGCTGGCGTGCGTGGCGGTGGTTTCCCGCAAGGTGGCCGAGGTGGCATGCAGAACATGGCAGGCGCTCAAGCAGGCGCTCGGTTGCCTCCACAAGGCCGTGGACAGATGATGCCCGGCCGAGAAGAAGTACCTGCCAGTGGTCTAAGCAACCTTGCTTCTCTGCCTCCCAACCAACAGAAACAAATGCTTGGTGAAGCGATTTACCCCAAGATCCAACAGATTCAACCGGAACTTGCTGGCAAGATTACTGGTATGCTTTTGGAAATGGACAACTCCGAGTTGCTGGCATTGTAAGTTATAATTGCTGCAGCACGATATTTTGGTTGATGACTAACATTTCTTGCAGGATTGACGACGACAGTGCTCTTCGTGCCAAGGTGGAGGAAGCCCTTACTGTCTACGACGAGTACGTCAAAGGCCGTCAAACTGCCGGTGACGGTCCCAACGGCACGAAAGAGGAGGATGGGTCCAAGGCTGAAGGCGGCGAAGCGACGGCTTAGACGATCTGGCCCGGACTACTCTTACTGTCTTAACACAACTTTTTCAACCCAAATTGCACGATCACTGTACTCGACTTGGGCAAGATGCCTTTCTACCAAAAGTTCTGATACTGCAACATGTTAGCTGAGTGCTCTGCAATGGGCCTCCGGACCATGGAGCTGGACTGGATTGCAGTGGCGGTGGCAGGCGAATGGCGTCCTTTCTCCCGAGCAGATGGGTCCCGATTGTGCTCAAGGTGGCTCGGTGATTATGAGCTTCTCTTGTTGTTTGAGTGTATGATAGACTGGCGATATGCTTCCCCCTTTTCTACATGGGCCAATGCACTACGCAGTATCTCCTGAAGATGCTTGGTTGTACTTCGTGTACCCGGGTTCCCTGCTGGAAAACCGGAGATAGGTTGCATCTTTGCCATGCATAGATAGATTCCCCCTTAATGAGATGGCTCCTCTGTTTGAACTTGTGCCTTGCAGTCTTGTTTGTTTTGTGACAAGCGGAGTTGAGTGTACGTGGCGCAACAATACGATGGGGTGGCTTCGCCCCCTGCAGGTCAACAATATGTACCTCAGACTTGCTCAGACTCCGTCCTCCTGCACCTGGCCGACGGTGGCCTTTACTCATTGTACACGACATTCCTTTTTTGGTTCCCAATGATGTCGACAGTGTCTATCTCTGCGCTGTGGAGCGTTCGGCCTATATGGTCACTTTTGGAGTGGAGCGCTGCCGTCGCCTGTACAAGTGGACAACTCGTCGACCAGCGCCCCAACTTTCCTTCCTTCTCCCTCCCGCTGACGTCCTCAACATCCTTCAAACTCGTATTTGCTGCATTTGAATCTTCGCTTCCATCATTCTTTCATCCAGATCTGCTTAGTTGCTGCCATATTGGATAGATCCCTTCATGTTGTCAGTAGAATCGCCGCGAATTCACACCTGGCTCTCACAACAAGGTCTGTGACAGAAATCATCCAACAACAGATTTCGATCCCCTTAAAAAACAAAGAGCAAGGAACATTTTTTCTCACTCCCATGGACTCTTTGTCCGTACACCTGTACCCTCATCCCAAAGCGTGTCAGGGAACGTCTGACCGTCGACATCACAGTTTGAGCGCTTGCCCTAAGCCGTACCAGCACCTCGCAAGTTTCCCAATTTAACAATCAAGACATCATGACATCAATCATATTCGCCATCAAGATCATGTCGTGCATGTTGATCCCGGTCGGTTGCATTGATGGCCTCCGTACGCATCAGTGTGGTCGGCCAGCTGTCGTGCGGCTAGTTTTCCACATGATCTCAAGCAAGACCACCGAGGTCATGATCAAACCTGTCTTTGAGCACGGCAGGCAAGGGCTTTTGGACGGCCGATGGCTTATTACATTGTCAATTGGGCCCAGCAAGCCTCGCCGACAATGTTGCCGCTGTCGTTGGCGGAGGCATGCTGAACGAGAGATCATGGAACGGAAGACTCATGCATGACCTCAGCCGATATGGCCAAGAGAAGCCCAAACAATCTCTCTGCACAAAGGAACCTTGGAAGCAAACACGCGAGCTTCTTCACCTACCGCCAAGTCGTCTTCTTCAGTCGCCAGAGCCTCGCTCCGCTCGCGTCAGGCTGTGAGGCTGCAGGACTTGTCAACGGGTACGGCAGAAGGAAGAGGAAGTTTGGGGAAGTTCAACACACCGAAATGCCTGCGGTATCCATCACTCGCTGATAATCTCACAAAGCTCCTGCTCTTCGCATCGATCCTCATACCTACACATACCTACCCGCCAGGAACCCATTGCTATGACAATGTCTGGAGACGACAGCCCCCTGTTCCTCCCCTCTTCTCCCCCTCCCCATCTATCCAGGAGCCCTGATGCTGAAGTGCCGATGCTGGTTCAGAGAGCGCAAGGCGTTGAAACTCTGAGCCCGGCATTTGACAACTTCCTTGTCTCATACAATCATGCATTTTTTGATCTCTTCGAGCGCCAAATCGAACTGATCAAATCCCGTTCGCAGGCGTTCAAAGATGGCCACGTCAGTGTCTTCGACAAGGTGTTGTTGATTCTCACAGAGAATGGAAACAATCTGAACAACCCGGCAGCGATCAGCTTCTATAGCAAAGAGTATCTGAACATCGATATCAGCGCCTCTGCTCAGGAAGTAACATCAAGGCTCCAGCAGACTGTGGAAGTTTCACAGGCGTTGCGTCAAGGTATGCGAACTCCAGCTCCGTCCAGTGGCTGCTTATCTGATGAACCTGGTTCCAGAACTGTCCTTGGATAAGACCAATATGGTTCAGAGAGGATCTAGGGCTCTAGGTCAAAATCCTGCTCGACTATTTCCCGTCAACCCAAACCTACGCAAGGACATGGAACCCAGATTGGCAGTGCTGTGGTCCGTGTATGAGACTGCCCGAGCAGAGTATCTCGCCGTACTCGATAAGAACGACAATGAAATGGCAATCAAGAGAGCCAAATTCCTCCGTGACACGGCTGAAAACATCCTGCTATATCTCGAGAACAGAAATGCTGATCCTCTGATGGTCGCGGAGCTTGAAGGAACATTTAATCATGCCAAAAACACCGTTGTTTGCTTGACTGGTGGCAAGAAACGCAAATTCGATAAATCAGACATGGATCAAGTCAAGGGCACGCCGCGTGGACCAAGTCTGCCGTTCAGGAAGTTGAGATCCCGTGGGGGTGGTGGAGTCGGCGATGCAGCTGCTTACAAGCGTCCTCATCGTCCAGATACTTCAAGCGGCCATACTGGCGAGATGAAAAGCTCTTACGGATGGGGCAGCTCTGATCTCCCCAGTGGATATGGCCAGCCATACCGGGCAAGATACCCTGACCCATACCGGTACCAAGAGCGCGGCCCACATCCTTCCGAGCATGCTAGCGCACCAGCAAGAGACTACGAACGCGGTTATGACAATGACGAGGCAGGATACAGCTTAGGTATTGGCTCATACAATGCCTCCGTTTCCAACAGCTACCAGGATCGCGGCGTCAGCGACGACTGCGCAACTGGAAACCCATCGGACGAACGCGCCTCCTCAGAGTACTCGGAGTATCTGGACACGATTGAACGCGACCGCGAGCAGCAGCACGGAAACACGACTCGCTCCAAATCAGCATCTCGAAAGCGCGACCCACCACGTCGAGAAGACCAAATGCGAGACCAAAGCCGTCATCGTCGACGCTCGAGGTCGCCAGCAAATGATCGAGGACACTTCGACCACCGGGCATACCCCCGCGACCGAAAATACGAGCAGGAGCGCGACAGAGACCACCACCGCCGAGCCAGCGCGAGCATTGGCGGACGTCCCCCAAAGTTCCCTCCCTTGACCACCGGCCGTGGATATGGACACAGCTACGGCTCGGTTCTCTACGGCTACGACTATGCCAACGCCAGGGCCAGGCTGGTTGATTCGTACGTGCCTAGTCGAGATCGCAGTCGTACTCGCAGCCGCAGCCGCAGCCGCAGCCACAGCCACAGCCACAGTCGCGGCCGTGGTCGACGTCGCTCTTAGCGCGGTTGAAAGTATGAGGTGTGAGATGTGAGACGAAACGGTGCAGTGAGCCTCCTCGAACGAAGGAAAGGTGAACAAGAATGAGAGAACTGAGGAGGAAATCAGCTAAACATCATGCGGACACGGAGAGAATACAGACGTCTAAAGATGACCGAATGAGCGGCGAGGGTGAGGATGTTCTCGCTGGACGAAACGTGGGGATGGGGCTTGCGAGGGATCATCCATTTGTATGTGCATGCGTGCATAAGCTGTCACTATTCGAGGAGGGAAATCCTGTACCAACATTTCTGACGCTGGCGCTGACGAGAGAGAGCAAGATGGACAATGTGAGTGAGACGGAGAGACGGGGCTACAACCTCCAATGAGCTCGGAAGTACTGTACATAGCTCAACAGGGAGTTCAAGTCTCACAAGTCGCTTCTTTTTATCGATTCTCGTATGGCGGTAAAAAGAGTAGGTCAACTTGGTATTCAGTATACAATGTGATATAAGACGAGAGACAAAGGGATCGAAAGGATGCGGGAGAGCCTGCTATAGCGTTTGTCTACCGACAGCTGCCTACCGTATTATTCCCCAAGAAGGTTACGGGACTAGGGTTTGCCGAGGCCGCGAGCATCGTGCCAGTTTGTATCGTGATAGTTACGCTCGCCGGTCTTCTCCTCGTGGACGGATCAGAATCAGAAAGAAGAACAATTTAGGTGAAAAATGGCATAAGGCTGAAGATAAAATCGATTGTCCGGATGTAATACGTACAGTAGTGTCACCCCGAACATATGAATTATTGGGTCCGCGAAACGTAGCGCACTACAGGGTACAGTACGGATAAGGACATGGTGGGAAGGCAACCTACCAGAGCCCTTGTCTTCGCTCGTACTGGGGCACACTATTCGCTGTGTTCTTACATAGCATAGCCACTCCGAGGGGGGGCCATTCGGGGCGATATGCCATGTCGTGGATTTTTCGGGGTATTCGAGTCAACAGCCTCCCACTCGGGCTGGCTGATGCTTCTCGTCGAATTCAATATCTATAAAGGAAGCAAGGGAGGGAGGCGACCTCCTATTATCATTTTTTAACAGTCATCCACCTGGCGCAATCACCTATCCCGCACCCGAGCTCTAAGCCTGATATCATGGTGGGATCTACTTCGACTGTCGAGGACCTGGGTGCTTATATCAGTCTTCGTCCTCTTCGCCATGCTGGATTTGTCCGCGAGGGATCCTATTTCGGTGGAGTATCTTAAACCTGTTGGTGGGCCGTAACAGGGTACATGCATTTGCACCAAAAGCTTTCTGAGAAACCAGCCAACGACTGCCACTAGCGATCCCCATCCCTCAACTCACGAAGAGGGCCGTGATGCGCCCATCGAACTGGGTGATTTCCGTCGGCCCAGAGAAAATCGAAACACCAGATCAGAAAACTCAAGACCTGGAACAGAGAGGTCTGGGTAATACCACGCCCAATCCACGAGATTGATGGGATTCATGCCAAGACCTTTTCTCCTGAGGAGTTCAATCCCTTCGAGACGAGGATTCGATGAGCCATTGGCCTCGACATCCACTGCGCTCCTGGCGCACGTCGCTCACGTTGTTGCTTCGATTTTGTCAACTGACTACTTGCTGCGCCCATGCAAGCCTGAAGATGGAACTTGGCTTGGATGGGGTCCAACGGGTCTGATAGTCTTGGCGATCCTTGATTGTAAGGAATAACCAGGATACTCGTAGCTCCTATGAGGACTCTGACGGCCGACATGACCGATTGCTGAACATGGGCAAATGGGCATTTGATGTCGAGCTGATTGAAGCATAAGCACCCCTTTCTTGTAATCTGCCATGGCTGACTGGAGTCGAGACGAATCAGTTCGAGGCAGCAGGACTGCACAGTCTGATTTTGTGTTGGAAAGACCCGTGTGGGAAAGAAAAGCCATCGTTGGCTCACGCACCTGAGATCAGGTTAAGGCTGCCCAGCCCACAGGCCATCCTGCACTTGTCGCATAGCCTCTCATTCACCATTCTCGACTACCAAGCCTGTTCGATCCCAGTTTACAATTACGGCACGAAGATCCTGTTGGCGCCAGGCAGGCCGACGACTTTGCAAGGCGCAGTCATCGCATTTACTGCCTGCTTTGACCGTCCACTACTCAGCCGCAAGGCGGAAAAGAAGCAGTGAAGCCAAAGTTAGTTGACACACCGGGGAGCGCCGGGCGGCCACGCAATCATTTTTCAAGTCCTTTTGTACACTAGCAAAGAATCACAGCAACCATGAAAAAGGGAGAACCCCTTCTCTCAATCATAATCCATGACACGGGTGACTGCTCACCCCGGCTCGCGTGAGTCGGGGTCAGCTAGGGGTGAGGTCAGTGTCGATTTGCCATCTCTTGGCAACATGAACGATCGGTACAGGAACTCATCGCAGATATCATCTGCATCCCCATTCCATGCCTCTGCCTCTCTGAAACGAATGTAGGCATACTCGTACATGTTTGGTTTTATCATTCGCGATCTCACAGTCATGGAAAAGATGCCCGACTGAAAGGGTGAACACTCTCGGATTGATGGCTCCCTTCTGATGACTTCGAAATGTATAGGCTCGACAGAGACACCTACCTTTCAAATCTGACGGATGACATCCACGCCCTGCAGACAAGGGCCATCATCGCCGAGAGGGTCTGAAACTCGACGGTGTCCTATCCCTCGACCAAGCTGATACCCAGCCATGGTTGGCGTGTGAGGCAAGGGCGTGTTCGTGGCTAACATCAACATGACGGAATCCTGGAGCGAGCTTGTATCCACGACTCGGCCACCGTGTGCTTCAGCGAAGGACAATGTGGGCGTGTCCGATCTGCGGCGCCGGAAGATCGATGAGCGAGACGGCTGGTCCTGCGACTCGCCCGACTCGGAATTGTTAGTGTTCGGATTGGTGGAGGCAGAATCTTCGAGGCGGGCTCTGGCCAGGGCTTTGCGAACGGTTTGTCGGAAATTGTCGCGCGTTCCGGTTGCGGGAGAGCAGTTGTTACGGTGCGGGTATGTTTCAGTGCTGGCTCCCGTCAGGTATGCTTCTCTCGTACATTGATATTCGTCCTCCGCATCTCGGTGGTCACTGATGATTCCAGGAATGCTATGAATGGATTGTAGGGTGGCAGGGTTGGTTTGAGCGTAAAATCGTGATTGAGAGAGCTTGGGTAGTCCGATGCCAGCCACGATACGTGAATCAGACACTCTGCGATTTTGCAACTCCCAGATTGGTGGCAGTTCGATTGGACTGTTCAGGACCTCTTCGAGAGACTGGTAGGCGCGCTCGCGGTAGGTTGGGCGGCATGTAGGGCAGATTTTGAAGCTACAAAGCTGGACACATGGTAGCCTGTGCTGCTGCGGCAGCGGATCAGCCGGGGCTGATGGCTTCGGTCGGGGCGCTGGAGGAGGGATTGATGGCTCGGACATCCAGACCTTCTGCAACTCTTTCCAATCGTAAGCCGCCTTTATTTCTTCGTCGAGCTCGGTCGAGGAGTTGGTTGAGAAGGTGGTGCTTTGCGGCAGAGTGGAAAAGGTTCCATGGTCGTCGGTGGATGAGGAGGTGGAAGCGGTGGTGAAAGTCGAGGCTGTGGCAGGTCTGCTCTCATCTGGCTCAAGCGGGGAGAGGACGAGATCCCTGACCATTTCCTTCTGCTCAATCACTTTCTTGACCTCTTGAGGAGTGTACTGGCCTTCTCCAATGGCCTTGATGATTGGACTGCTGAGGGAATGACTGGTGACCTCCTGACCCAATGCTCGGCCTCTTGGGAGAGCAGGCTCGTCTGTGAAGTCGGATTCGGGCAAGAAGCCGCCGGTGTCTTGGGTGCAGCGATAGAGCCATCCGATATTTGGGTGTTTGTGGCAGAGTGAGCATTTGAAGGAGCCGTGGGGATCGTACAGACGGGTCATGGTCATGTGGGTGCACGGATTGCGTCTCTCAGGACCTAGAGTGTTCGTGCGCAGGAGAGGCATGGTGGGAGGAGTGGGAGGGAGGGCGATTGAGGACGGTGGAAAGCATGACACTCGAACAACAGACGGGACGACAGTGCGAGAAGTGAAATAAGTGAGAAGTGAGAAGTGAATGGGGGTGAAGTCAATGCAGGGAGGGAGTGAGTGGGAGGTGGCAGCAGGAAGGAGCAGCTCATCTTGCCTGCGGCCTCTTCACCAGGTCTTCTCGCATCTCCTACATTTCTCCTTACAACATGTTCTCCTCTTCTCTTCAGTTACCGTTCATCGACACAGGCCCAGAGAGGTTCGTGTGCCATCCATGGCCCGCTGCTCTCGCTCTTTGGTCTGCCTGTCTGTCTGTTTCTTCCTTCTTACCAAGCCCACCGATGCGACGTCACTGCCAATAGAATGTATACCGTCACTGCACTCACTATACGCAGCCCATGTCTCGACGACGATGGTGTTTACCAGTAGCTAAGTGAGCTCAGGCAACACGGGTCAACTGGGTGTGTTTATGTCTTGGCAGCGCGGGACGGGCCTGGCTGGCTCGATTGGGTTGGCGCGCCCTGCATCGAGATTGCCAGCTTGCCAGCTCACTCAATGCTCAACTCTCACTGCTGCCACCCGCCGACAACCCACCGACACCAACTGCCTCAGCTGCCTCCAGCCTCCAGCCTCCAGCCTTTAGCCTTCGCTGCACACCGAGACCCCAACTCCCTGCGCTCTCCCTTTGCTCCCCTTGGACTCCCTCCTCGGTCCGCCCATTTCTACGAGGGAGAGAAAACTCCAGAGACGCGTTGCTCCCCCCCGTCTTCTCAAACTGCCCGCCCGATCAGAATTCTGTTCACCAGTCCTTATCAATCATCTTCATATTACTCCGTTCCCTAGTAAGTGTCGCGTTCCCTCTGCCTTCCCAACCCTCCGCAAGTCAAGTCTCCCAATCCCCACCACCAATCCGTATCCCGTACCAGGGCCTCGGCATCCCAGGGTTATGTCTTTTGTCAACAACACCCTCGTCAGCCGCTGATTGTGCCTACTTCCATCT